GATAGATCCGGTAAAAGCGAAGCGTACTCTGGCTGCCCTGAAGAAACCACCAAAGTCTCCAGCGAAAGGCAACTATGAGCGCATACTTAAAAAGTCATTTATCGAAGCGGAGCGGTCGGAAGTACTGTCAGTGGTCAAAGGTTAGCAGAACGACGAGCTGGGAAAAAAGTTGCCCAGCTCGGCGAACAAGCAAACCAATCATTCCCCCCGCTCCAGGTGTCTAGCGATATCGTCGCTAATCATCCGGGTGGGATGGTGCCCGGTTATAACAATCTTGGAGATTACCTTCCCGACGATGTACATTATGATTTCTTGGAGGTGGACAAACACAAATACGTGTACGGGAAGTCTCTCGTTAAATATGAAAGATCTCTAACAACGATGATGCGAAGATTCCATGATTGGTACATGAAAACCTGCAGAGAGTCTGAGGGGAGGAATATTTTGACGCTGAGAGTTAGAGAGGAGCATGACCTCGTTGGAATTGAACTATTGAATGTTCCATTTGAGGAGTTCTTCACGTTTTTCAATCTAAAGGCCCTCGATAAATTAATGATCACTTGCTACTACCTGTAAGTAGTACTACTTCTGTCATTAAGTCTCTATATATAGGTCAGCTCTTTTATTGCATGTATTTTTTATTATCCTCACTATATTATGCAGATTGAAGATCGCCGAATTGAAGAGAAGACAAATCGGTGATATTGGGTTCATTAACACAAATCTCATAGATGCATATATGGTTGAATTTCAGGCCAAAGATACCGAGGCCAAGCTGCTACAATCGTTTGTATTAAATCAAAACAAAGCTATAATACTCTTCCCTTACGAATTCCAGTGAGTGTTACTGTCCTGTGCATATTCGGTTTCCCTTATTAGTCGAGGTTATAGTAATGTAATTGATGAGTTATGCATGCGTGTCCAGCTTCCACTGTATTCTCATAGAGTTTAAGCTTGAGCAGGGACTAGTAACCGTCTTAGACTCGAGACGAAAAGATCCCAAGGAGTATGCGGACATGACTGAAATTCTAGAGAAGTTAAATCGATCATTATCGCACCATATCGGCAACTTCAATTTGTTCATTTCCTGATATCAAGTAATTGTTTTCTTCGTCTGGCAGGGTTTGGAAAAAATTCACCTCAAAAACTCCGGGACTGCCGAAGAAGCTGCAATTTATACACCCGAAAGTAAGTACTATAGTAGCATGTTCCACGCATCTCCTAGTGATTCAAGCGCTAGTTTGGGTTTGGAAAAAATTCACCTCAAAAACTCCGAGACTGGCGAAGAAGCTGCAATTTAGACACCCGAAAGTAAGTACTATAGTAGCATGTTCCACGCATCTCCTAGTGATTCAAGCGCTAGTTTTATCAATACCATTTAGCATGCTTGCTAATTATCAGTTTGATTGACCTCTATTTCTTGTAAAGTGGTTGTGGCAGGAACAAGGGAATAATTAATGTGGATACTACATTTGCGAGTCCATCCGCCACACGACCTGTGAGCGGGCCTACTCTGACAAACAATATGAAGTGCGTAAATAATAATATTCACAATTTTATTTTATTACCATCATTTGTGTTCAGTTTCATTTATTCATATATATGTATTGACCCCCTTCTTCAAATTAGATATTTCGGATGCGGGATGAACTCCTACACCAGATCGTATGCGAGGAATTCAAGAGGAATTGGCGGCATTCTTTCTTGACCACGTGATCGCTAAAGACGGAGAATACCATGTGGAACGTAATCAGTTGGTTTTTAATTAGGAGATTATATTGTAAGAGATAATTATATTGTATATATATAGCCAGTAGCATCGGATAGATATATGAGAACTTGTTGTTCGACCAATCTCTCAGAGAAGGAGAGGTGATAGATATCTCACTTCTCTCTGTATGCATATGTTCATGACGATCTTCTGTTTTCTTCATTTGCTTACTAGCTAGCGTGTCTAGTCCTCTCTATACGTATAGTACGTAGCGTCGACCAAGCACGAAGATAAGAAAGGACACTTCTCTTTGTTAATTAGCTAGCTAACACAATATATGAAACACCTAAATTAACCCCCCAAAACCACCTAACCCCCTCCCCCCCTTTCAAAAAAAACCCAACACCTGAAATGCTGACGCGTGTATGCCTATTGGTCCCGGTTGGTGCCACCAACCGGGACCAAAGGGCCTCCTGCCTGGGCTCGCCGCACCGGCCACATGGAGGCCCATGTGTCCCGATTTGTGTAAGAACCGGGACTAAAGGTCAAGGCCATTAGTAACGGCCTTTTAGTCCCGGTTCCTAAACCAGGACAAAAGGCCCTTACGAAACAGGACAATTGACCCTTTTTCTACTAGTGTTGGAAGAATATTGAGAAAAATCTTATGTCCGTATTTTAGGAGGTGATTTCACAGTGCGATTTCTAAATTATTAGTTACTTATTACTTACCCGATTGAATTGAATCAGTACGTGTCAAAGCAAGCACGAAAAGATCTCCTCCTATAATGGGATTTAGTTTTTTAGTGTAAGAGAGAAAAATCTAGTGGGAATGGGTGATGGGAGGTGAGACGAAAATAAACCTAGATACCAGGCTACCAACTCCTCCAGTAATAGTAGAGATTATGCCAGAGCTGGCGGTGTTGGACGAGGACCTCCTTCGGTTCCAAGTATCCGCAAAGATTCTGCAACGACGCAAGGTTTAGCAGGATGTTCGTCAGGTGCCGCAAATGCAGGTGCAATGGTCAGGTTTCCACCATCCTTGGATGGGAAGATGAAGAACCCTTTCAAGCACATTTCCCCTGAGCGTTGGCTTGGGGACAAGCCAAGTTTCAAGGGGCGGGGAATGTCACAAGAACAACCATTACCGCAACGGAAGACCCAAGTCCAATCCAGGTTGGTCGGCACAAGAGGAACGCCTGACCCAATCCACGTGTGCAAGGGCCGGACTCCGAAGGAGTGACCAACTACATAAAGCAGAGAGTGTGTGAAGTGTGTGCACCGCTGGATCATCACTAGGCTATTAGGTCGCCGTTGGCGTGTATCTCCCCTTCCCATCCCCCTAGCTCTCCTCCCCGATCCCCTTCTTGCTACCTAGTGGACCTCATATCTGGTGATTGTGAGTGATAATCCGTCGTCATCCATAGATTGCATCTCACCGTCCAAGGCAAACTTGCCTAAGGCGAGAGCCACCAAAACCCACAACGAAGCTTTTCGATTGCATTGTCCCGCAATTTTGGCACTACGAGCCGTCGGCAGCAGTCACCGGATACGAAGAGAGGAACCCTCATAAAGACTCGGTGTTCACTACAATAAGTAGGTCGAGTAGCCGGTTGGACCCCATTAATTAATAATCAGCAGGAATCACATTTTAGGTGGGTCTAGAACGGAAAAAAATTCTATGAAATCAGGTCTCACGGATTAGTAGGTGAGACACATCCTGATGGATGACATGTGGCATTCACAAATCACAAAGCATTTACCCCATCCTCACCTGAAATCAGGGGGGAGAGATTAGATGTTTTATGATTTGTGAATGTCACGTGTCATCTATCAGGGCGGGTCTCACCTGCTTTATATGAGACCTGGTCTCATATAATTTTTTTCCGGTCTAGAAGAGGGCGACATCGTCGTCATCATCTCCATTATTGTGATTACTGTTGTTGTTGATACGGCACATAATTTATGGATTCGTAATAACGTTGGGACTATAAATCCAGCAGATCAGATCAGATCTGGAGTAGCTAGGAGTATAAATCGACCGGATCCTGACTGATTGATTGTGACTGGAGTAAATCGTTTTAATGTAATAAAAATAATATGATGGTTTATGAGTCGCAATCTTGTCGTTGAAAAGGAAGGGAAATGCACTCGACTCCAGCCTCACATAGTCTGTCTGCCTCCGGCCGGCCATGAGCAGCGCCATGAAGCTGCAGGAGAGGGTTACCGTGCCAAGGACGGCGTGGAAGCTAGCCGACATCTTCATCCTCTGCCTCCTCCTCGTCCTCCTGTCCTGCCGTGTGGCGTCGCTGGGAGAGGGCGGCGCCGGCGCCGCCGCGCTCGTCTGCGAGGCGTGGTTCACCTTTGTGTGGATGCTCAACATGAACATCAAGTGGAATCCCGTTCGGTTCCACACGTACCCTGAAAACCTCTCACAAAGGTGACTACTCGCCTTAATTTATGCCTTTAGTGATGTGAACGCTCTAATATTTCTTAACGAATGGAGTAGTTTGTAACTCATTCAGCTGAGAATTGCTAGGATGGACGAGCTCCCGGCGGTGGACATGTTGGTGACCACCGCGGACCCGGAGCTGGAGCCGCCGCTGATGACGGTGAACACGGTCCTCTCCTTGCTCGCCGTGGACTACCGGACGTCGACAAGCTCGCGTGCTATGTCTCCGACGACGGCTGCTCGCCGGTAACGTGCTACGCGCTGCGCGAGGCCGCAGGGTTCGCCAGGCTGTGGGTGCCCTTCTGCAAGAGGCACGGTGTGGGAGTGAGGGCCCCTTTCATTTACTTCGCTTCCAGCAGACCAGAACCTGAGCTCGCCGGCGGCAAGTTCTCCGACGACTGGATCTTCATCAAGGTTAGCCTACACCGTCTCATAGCCTTCCATCTTTCTTCTATTGCACCCCGAGTGTTTCTTCCATTTAGTCCATTCGTCCTCTCCGTCTGTGGTTTCAGAGCGAGTATGACAAGTTAGTTAGCCTGATCGAGAGCGCGGACGAGGCGTCCCTTCTCCGGCACGACCATGCCGGCGAGTTCACCGAGTTCAAGGGGGCCGAGTGCGGGGACCATCCTGCCATCGTTAAGGTCAGCAAATAAACAACGCAACAGCCACATGCCACATTAATTCGTATGTAATAAAATTAATTAAATTTTCTGCTAACTTGTTCTTCAGGTTCTTTGGGACAACAGCAAAAGCAGCGGGACCGGGGAAGGTTTCCCAAATCTTGTGTACGTTTCAAGAGAGAAAAGCCGCAAACATGACCACCACTACAAGGCCGGCGCCATGAATGTTCTGGTCAGTAGCCTTGTACTACTTAATAAATGTACTACTAAAAATTTTCCAAAATATAAGATGTTTCGACCAAAACGTCATATATTTTACATTACAACGGAGGTAGTAGTTGATAAATTGTTGATCAACCGACACCGTGCAATTCGTGCAGGCAAGGGTGTCTGCGGTGATGACAAACGCGCCCATCATACTGAACGTGGACTGCGACATGTTCGTCAACAACCCACAGGTCGTCCTGCACGCCATGTGCCTCCTGCTGGGGTTCGACGACGAGACGTGTAGCGGCTTCGTCCAGGTGCCGCAGAGATTCTACGGCAAACTCAAGGACGATCCTTTTGGTAATCAGATGGAGGTTTTACGTGAGGTGCACACCATCAACTAGATCATCTATAACATACATACCGTCTCCTCTAGTCTCTATATAGGTATTTTATAAAAACTCAAACTTTCTTCTTTTTGCCAAATTTATAGAAAAACAGATTGGCTTTTTAGAACCCGGGTGCCTAGACTCCCATCTATCACCGCCGTCCATACAGAACAATAGTCTCGGGGATATGTGCCATGCACTTCGATGGTTTTGTTTAGCAGGCCTACTTGAACAGTGATGATGGAATCACTCTCTCGGTCTCTCCTCCCAAGATTCACCATCGAACTCTCTCGTGGAGAACAATTATTATTTCCTCTCTCTCACAGCATCTTTGTTCTGACATTTATCTCTCTCACATGGGCTACCAAAGGCAAAAAGATCACCTCACCTTTCTTATCTTTCCATTCACAGCCTCTCTCCTTTTTCTCCTCTCTCTTGTCTCTCTCACAGCCTCTCTCTCCTTCCATTCCTCCTCTCTAATATGATAGACTCGGATGCAGAGTAGTTAATTTAAGGCCTGATCGGTCACTGTCCGTGGACGCATCCAGTCGCGTTCGTGGGCGTTTGAGAGATCAAATTTGTCAAGCTCTCCCACGGCCTCATAGAAAAGGCTCTCTCTCTCTCTCTCTCCTCACCTTTAGCCTCTCTCTTTACTCAAAAAGAAGAGAAGAAAAGATAGACAAGAATGACATGACGGGCTGCCTGAACGACTTGACAAAACATCTCGCCTTTGCTACAATAGCCAGACCTCACGAGCTTGCCGGGAACAGTTGCCAAACCTACTCTATCGGTATCTACTGCAGCCTACAACGCAAGCGGCCTGCTGCTGTCTATGCCACATCACGAATCTTGAAAACGTTGAACGCATGTTTTTGTTATAGAAAAACATGTCTACATGTGAAATAACAAATACATATCTTTAGATACATCTGCTCCCATATTTTCCTGGTGTACTAATAACCCGACAAATATAGATATTTTTCTTCACAAAGTTGATCCAAGTTTAGGGAGGTTTTCCCAAAGAAAAAAAAAAGAAACTCGACTTTATGGGAAAATGTATACAGACTACATTATGAAACTGGTGGAGTACTAACTATGGCATCGGTGTGTTTAGAAACTTTTCGGTGGACTCGCTGGACTTCAGGGCATCTTTTACCTTGGGACGGGCTGCTTTCACCGTAGGAAAATCATTTACGGTGTGGCACCAGCTTCATTTGCGGCCATCAAACATGAAAGAGAAGGTAAATGTACGCCATGCCCATGAATGAAACGGTATCAAATTGGAGTGCCCATTGTGCATTGAACAATGCTCAACTTGGCCTCCAACATTCATTGGTAATTCTTCTTTATTTTTGAAGAGAGGCTTGCTTGCTCTCGGCCTCTCGCATAAAAAGTGATGCACACAACACAACCACGATATATTAACCAATTTATTTATGAGTTGCTAAATAGGAATAATATGGCCCACTGGCCAAAGACATAACATTCATCAAATTGTTGTAACCTACATTGCCAGGTTCACTATCCTACGAGGATCTGCTGACCAAGTTTGGGGCTTCAATGGAACTGGTCGAGTCATCCAGGAACATATATTCCGTGGAAATACCGCCAAAACCCATGATCGACATAACGAGTCGCATCCAAGTGGCAAAGCAAGTGTCCACCTGCAACTACGAGACAGGCACACATTGGGGTGAGGAGGTATATATACCAATTGCCATTGTGACTTTTTGCTACATACATTTCCTTGTTCCTTGTCAACCATTCATCTTCCATGTATCTACAGATTGGTTGGTCCTACGGGTCAATGGCAGAAGACATCCTGACCGGGCAGCGTATCCATTCAGCAGGTTGGAAAACCACGCTGCTGGACACTAACCCACCAGCATTCTTGGGATGTGCTCCTACAGGAGGACCAGCCAGCCTTACTCAGTATAAGAGATGGGCAACTGGAGTTCTAGAGATACTCCTCGGGCAGAATAACCCAATCATCGCCACCACCTTCAAGCGCCTCCAGTTCCGGCAGTGCCTTGCATACCTAGTCCTATACATCTGGTCTATGAGGGCACCTTTCGAGCTATGCTATGCACTATTAGGACCTTTCTGTCTCTTCAGAAACCACTCCTTCCTTCTGAAGGTGAACTTTTGTCTCACAGTCCATTCAACTTAGCTGAGAGCTATTTTCTATCTTATAATTCTGCCCACTTAGTTCCTACAGATCCACCATCTAATCAACAATATTGTTTAATTACCTACAATAACTATATTGGTGCCCCAAACATTTGTGCGGCTAGATTTATTACATATTGATTTCTTCCCCATGAATTTTATAGTTCCTGTGTTTTCAATTACGCCAATTCTATACATTAATTTAATGAGGTAGATTCCAAATTGTTTCGCATGCATATTATACATTATAAATCATAGGAAATCTTGTTATAAACTTATACCTGATTTTGTTTATTTATGATAGTAATCCTGGTATATAATTGATACACAATTTACCTAACAGTACACGTTGGAATCGAAGCTCATATACATATGGTTTATCTTAATTAACTGTATCATCCAGATCCGTGATGGCCTCTTAATTATATCCTCATGTTATTTGAGGGAGTTCTAAAACAAATCCTCATGTGGTTGTTCCTATTGTTTTCTATATTAACTCTTACACGTATCTCTTTTCTTTAGTTCAATATAATAATAAATCGACCAATATAAAGTTGTATTTATATATTCACAAACTCGATTAGAGTTTTATGCACTTATTCAGTCTTTAGAGTTGTACTTTCTTCACAAACTTTATCTTCGTTTCCTCAATGTCCACTGTCCTTCAAGATTGATGTATCTTCATCCTGCTTTTTATTTTGTTTTAGTAGT